GAGCACAGAGGCCTCTTCTTCACTCAGGGCCATGGAGCTACCCACCCTTGTCAGGACTGCTTTGAACTCGCTAGGAAACACCCCCGCCCTGCCTCCCCCCCACAGCCTAGTTCTAAGACTCCCTCCTCTTCCTGTCTACTGTGGTTCATGAATGAACTTCCTGTCCAGAGCCCACAGTTCAACCAGCCAGAGGCTCAGGATACTCCTGTCCTCTGTGGAGGTACTGACATACATCTAGGACTACCTAGAGATCAGTTCCCTAGGATGGGGTTCCTTAAACAGGTGACTGAGTCTATCTTTGACTCCCATTTATTTTTGCCATTTATTTAGGTTAGGAACACTTTGCAATCCTTCTCAAATACAACCTTATTTCCTCTTTTTGATTTGATTTCCAGTAATTAAATAATTTTTGTTGACAACAATAGGTACTTATTAATCAGCTAGGATACTAATTGGGAATTTTCATACATTATCTTAAATCTATACCACGAGTCAGCTTTAGTTTTGTAGATGAGGAGAGGGAAGACTGGAGAGTCAGTAATTGGCTGAGTATCAATGTGCAGCTGCTGGTTTTCTTTTTTTTGGCTTTGTCTCAAGAGGACTGGAATTTTTCTCCCAGTTGAATCAAAAGGGAAAATGTTTGCATTTACCTTTTGCCTTCCAAAACAAACTCTTAAAACTCCTTTCAAGACTGTAGGTGGAAAAACCAAACATTTAGATTTGTACAGGTCCAGACTTTGAAAAGAAAGTTTACATTTGTTTGGCTTCTTTATGTCTTTGATGTATCCAAAATCAAAGCCCTTTATATCCACGGCTCGCAGTTCACATCCACATATGAAAATCTAGAAAGGATGGGGATAGGAAAGAGTAGGTGCACACTGTAACTGGGGTTGGAGGAGCACAGTACTGCCTGAGGTTATTTGGAGAAGGCTTGAGAGACAGGCCAGTGGGGAAGTGAACAGCATCGGAAGGTGACACTACTGAGACCAGAGGTCTGGCCAGTGTTTGTGCCAGGGGCAACAGACCATTTTGCCCTGATCTAAATAAATACACCCACCTCCCCACTCTTGCCATAAAAACATCCATGGGGTGGAATTTGGATATCCAGGCACGCTAGCAATGGGGAAGTAAAGGCCCCCAGCACCAGTACTTGGGTGAGATATAAGGTCCCTAGTTCTATGGCTCCCCCCACCCCCCATGCAGTGTGCCATGGCTGGTATCCCTAGAACCTGGTCTAGCCCTTGGTTGACTGGTCCTCTAGCCTTGGAGATGTTTTGAGCAGTTATGTAGTGTTATCAAATGGGAACCATGGAGATAAACTCTTGCAGCAGAATGGTGATGGAGGGGTGGTGGAAGTAGGTAATGCCCGTGTGAGAGATGATGGTGTCTGAATATGGCATTGGCCAATGATGGGTAGGAGAGATGTTAAAGGATATAATCAATAAGATATGATTAATTGGTTTGGGCTGAAATCCAAACACCTTCAGCCCACTGGCCTCAAGTCTTGCCATTTGCCTTGCCAGTTTCTGTCCCACCTGGTTCCTGAATGTTCTTGCTCCATCCAGGCTCCATGCTTTTGAGTGTGCTGTGCTGACCTCTGTCATGAAGAACAGTCCCTCACTCCAGAAATCTTGGGTTTCTTTGTCCCCCCCAGTTGAGGGAGGGTACTGCATCTCCTCTCTCTGAATCCCAGCACCTGGCCCAAAGCCTGGTGCGATATATATATATATATATATATATATATATAATCTGTTGAGCCAAGCAATCAATAAAAGAAGATGCGAGGTGAAGGGGAAAGAGATGAGAAGGGAAGGGATGAAGACACTGGTGCATCATCAGACCTTATTATAATCACTCCTCTCTCTGATGTTTCACATTAATCCTCATCGGAGAGACAGGAAAGTGATCAGAATAGTATCTGCCTCTGCTAGCTGCTGGAACTTGAACCAAATAAGATGGAATGGTTCAGAGAACATTCTAATATTCTGTCCAACAGTTTCAGTAGGACTACCATTTTATTAGAAGTGGTGCCTTTTGCCCACATGGATGGGGTATGAGATGGGGACCCTGCCAGAGGAATAAGATAAAGTGATCAGAGTCCTAGATGGCTTGTCCCCAAGTCCTGTGGTCCATTCCTGGATTCTCAGATAGCTCATGAGCTGGGCCTTTCTGAGGGCTCCTGCTGATATGCATTCAAAATTCTCTCTATCTCAGTTTTGACTTTCTGTTCTTCCCTTGCTATTTTCACTTCCTTATCCTCCAGGTCCTCGGGAGAGCAGAATGTAAGCCAGTGCAAGAGCTAGGGCTTGCATTAATTTCAGTGTCTTTGTGTCTTGCAGTAAAAAGGAAACCTTATATCTTAAGCCCTGTCAGTCTTGGGCTGCTGTAGATGGAGCTATCTACAGCAACTGGAAAGGCTACTTCTCTGCAGTTGGCCTGCTGTACTTGCTCCATGTAGGGACTTCATAAACCTACTGGTGCCTTTTTTTTTTAAAATGATGATTACTATAATTAAGGTGCTATCCTTCTTGCCTTACAGGTAGGTCAAAGAACCTGACTCAGGCTGTGTACTTTGTGAGTCCATTGGGTACAAGACCGCAGCACCCTCCCCCCCACAGCACACAATCAAATCACCTAAATGCCCATGAAATCTGAGTTTTGGACCCAAGGCCCAAACTTCCCAGGATTCCACATGCCAGGTCTGGTCACTCATCCCCATATGCCAAATAAAGCGGCATGGTGAAGGTCAAGAAAGGAGATTTATTACATGGTTTGGGACATGCTGTGGGAAGAAGCAGAGTGAGCACTCAGCCCATCTTTGGTCATCTTCAGAGTACACACATGAGCTCTAGGTTTTGTCTTCTGGTGGCAGGAGACAAAAGGTATGAATAGTCAAACAGTCTCTGTCACAGGTTTGGCCTGGTTGGTCATTATCTCAGTCCTTGTTCTGGGAGAAGTTGTTATCTGGATTTACTGTCTCCTGGTAGGTGGTCCATCCTAAGGAGGCTTTACTTTTGGGAGGAATTTCTGCCCCTTGTCATGAAGATGTTATCAGTTCTGTCTTCTGGAATCCAAGGTGGATTGCAAACAGAATGGCTTAGCATAAAGACAGATACAAAACGAAGGACAGATGCCACGTTTCCTCTTGCTTTTAGTTAACTCATGGGCCTGAGTAAGGAGTCCATGCTTTTCAGCAAAAGCAGTTTGAGCAACTCTTATAGCCACAGACTTTCTTAATCCTTTGTATTTTGGCAGCAATATGGAAAACACTTCCTGGTTCTGGCCTTTCCACTATTTTAACCTCTATTTCTTCTTTAACAAGAAGGCTGGGGTTTGAATAACCTGAGGTCCTGGATCAGAGAATACAGGAAGTTGGGCACAGGGTCTGCAGAACCCATGTAATATGCAAGAAGCTCTACCTTAAATAGAGTTTTTGAGGAGGAAACGGCCATATAGACAAGGAGGATGCCAGCTCACTTGTTTTGGGCTAGAATGATAGCAGTCTATCAGCTGGCTTGCTCTGAGCTGGAATGATAGCAACGCAGCCAGTTAGGCTGGTATATCATGCTGATCACAAACTCCGATGGGCAATTATGTATGTCTTTGATTAATAAAAAATGGGGCAATGAATGAATAGTTAATCAATGCAGTCTGGCGGGAAGGCTCTTTCAGAACCTGAGCTGGGGGGTGAAGCAGGAAGTAATCAAAGAGGTCCTTGGGGGTGAAGAGGCAGCTTCCCGCCTCCCCCCACGTTCAGCATATGATTTCTGAAAAGCCCCTCAGTCCTGGTTCTTGGGTCCCCCTATTCTGTGGTGTGGTGTGTCAGCCTTAGGGGCATGAGTGCCAGAAAAGGGTTCAGTTGGTGGGCAAATGGGAAACAATATGTTCTGTGCCCACCCAAAAGGACAAGGTAAAGCGCTCGGCATAGGCGTGCTTGCCTGTAGCTGCCTGTTTCCTCTCGTGCTGCGTCTGATCTCCAGGAGTGGACCTATGCTTGGAATAGTATTAAACTAACCTGGAGCTGGGCATGGTGGTACACGTCTATAATCCCAACACTTAGGAGGCTGAGGCACGAGGAAAGTTTGACAGAGGCCAGCCTGAGCTCCATAGTGAGAACTGTCTCAACTCCCCTCCTCCCTCAAAGCAAGCAAACAAACAAAAAAAGCAAAACTAAACTAAAACAAGCCAACTTGGTTAGGACAGGGAGAAGCAAGGGAGTGAGGAAGCTGGAAATGAATCAAGAGAGAAGGAAGGAGACCCTGCTGGGGTGCTGGAAGATTGCAGAGGTTAGGAAAAAAAAGACGGAAGATTGTAGCGGTTAGAAAAAGACGCGCGCATCCAAGGGCGCGTAGGTCAAAAAGAGAGAAAGAGAAGGAAGTGAAGGGGCGGGTAGCGGAAATGTGGAAGCGAGCAGGGGACTGGGACATGCGGCGAGGGAGTCGCTGGGCGAGCTGGCGTGGGGCGCGCGGGTAGGACGCGGGTCAGGACCGGGAGTCAGGGGCAGAGAACGGCGATGGGGCGGCGGCCGGCCGAGTCCTGCGGCGTCACTGCGGAGAGGGCCGCCGGCTGGACAGGGGCGCGGGGCGGGGGAGCGGTCCCTGGGCGGGGCGGGGCGGGGGGGGGGAAGTTGGTGGATGTCAGGAGGGGCGGCAGGGAACCGGCTTTGGGAACCCTAGGCAGGCGTCTTGTTGGGAGTTGGGATATTTTTGGCATTAAGTTGTGACTAATGAGCCGTGTGACCTTGGGCAAGCTCCCAGAACCCTCTGAAGCTTTTACTCCAGCAAACTGAAGACAACAAACTTTTGCTGGTAATTGTGAGAATTCGTTGCAGGTACTTGTAAACACCTGGTTCAGATGGGAAGCCATTTTTGTTTTGGCTACTGGGGTTTGAACTCAAGGCCTCATGCTTGCTAAGAAGCACTCTACCACTTGAGCCACTCGGATAGCCCTTTTTTGTGTTTAGTATTTTTGAGATAGAATCTCGTGAACTAATTGTCCAGGCTGCCCTGGAGCCTTGATCCTCCTGATCTCTGCTTGCTGAGTAGCTAGGATTATAGACATGAACCACAGGCCCATCGGGGGATTTTTCTTGTTTTAGTTGACAGAATAAGCAGTTTGAAATCAGGAGTTCCTGCTTCCCCACCTGCTGTTCTTGGTGGTAACTTGAGGTTGCCTCATCTACTGTTACCCATGTTGCTATTCAAACGCCTTGACAGCTATGAAAGGGTTTGTTTAGTTTTTATGGTCCTGGGTTTGTAACCCAGGGCCTGGCACATGCCTGGCAAGCCCTCTAGGCCGAGCACATCCCCAGGTGATGTATGAAAGTAATTACTCCCTAAACTTAACTGCCAGTGCCCTTTCCTCCACCCCTTTCTCCACCTCTTCCTTTCCCACAGCCTGGAAGAGTTGGAACCAGAGAGCTCCTTAAAGTGAAGAGTTTGCCAGAGGAATTTTCCAAGTGCGCAGAAGCCAGGATCTACAGTGTCTGTTCAGGAAGACAAAGTGGGATTTGAAGATCTGCTTTTCCTCCAGCCATGGCAGGCCAGGGCCTGCCCCTTCATGTGGCCACCCTCTTGACAGGGCTGCTGGAATGCCTTGGCTTTGCTGGTGTCCTCTTTGGCTGGGCTTCTCTAGTATTTGTCTTCAAAACTGAGCATTACTTTAAGGAGCTGTGTGAACCAAATGCTGGGCTCCTGAGCAATGCCACAGAGCAGGCTGGTAAGAACAATGATGGCTTCTCTAATGAAGTTGAGCTTGGTTCTTGGGAGGTGGGAAGAGGTAGGGAGGACTCCACCTTCTGCCCACCTGTTGGCCTTTCTGTAGGAGAGGGAGTGTTAGCATGGTCCCCCCTAAGTCTAAGAAGTTTCAGGAAGGGAAGTACCAGCTCCTGGCGAGGGGAGGAGTGGGTCTTAGGGGCAGCTAATTTTAACTCAGCTTGAAGGATAACTTTCTGCCAGGCAAGCTGTCCAAGATGGAGGGGAGCCCAGGTTGGGTGCCTGCCTACCAGGAGAGCTGGGATGACTGAACTTTGGCCCATGTGCCTTGGGCTTCTGATAGCTCTTCTGTTCCAGACTGCAAAGGCCAGGATGAGAGGTTCTCGCTCATCTTCACCCTGGCATCCTTCATGAACAACTTCATGACATTCCCCACTGGCTACATCTTTGACCGTTTCAAGACCACTGTGGCCCGCCTCATAGCCATGTAAGTTCAGAGGCCCACCTGGAACAGAGAGGAAGTCTCTAGACAGCATCCTGCTTGCAGGGAAACCCTGCTCCAGTGGATGGATTAGAGGATGTGGGTGCTCCCACTAGGCCCACCCTCTTTCCGGCACACACCCTTGCTTCCCTTTCTTTAGCTCCTTCCCCTTCTCCATAGGATTGTATCATCTTATTATATACTCAGTGAAGAAGGAACCCAGGCTGACTTCCTGTGAGGGCTGGCCTGGGGCCAGGGTTATAAAATTAGCAGAACCTGATTGCCTTTCTTACCCCAGGGATCCATGTCCTCTTCTCCTACAAGGACTCAAACATCAGGTGGCTCAGGCTTAATCACCATCCTTCTCACAGTCTTCTCTCCCCCAAGGGCTATTTAACAAGGCTGTCTGGGTATCCCCAGTAGTTCTTCTCTGGCTGGTGAGGAGACAGTGGGGGTTTCCATTTCAGATGATAGATGTGTCAGAGGACAAGGGACTTATTATGCTTACACAGTGTGCTGCTGCGTCCTCATCTCTGTGCTCATGGCCAGGTTTAGTGATAAGCTGTGGCCTTCTAGGCACTGTCACATTCCAGAGCAGGTACCACCAAAGAGGCATGTGTGAAATCACCTGTCAGAAGGATTGAGGGCTATTTGAGTCTGAATCAGGAAGTAGCCAGAATAAAGAAAGTCCCTTACACTCTAAGCCTTTGGGTGAATAGTGGCTGTCTCTCAATATTTCTTGGTCTTTGGCTACCTGTCTTCTCCTCTATTCCACCCCACCCTCTTTGCCCTTTCCTTCATGTCTAGCATCAGAGCATCACTTTTATTCCAGGGCCCTGCATTGCTAAGGAATCCCTATAACCTTGCAATTGTGGTCCCCAAATATTGCACTCAAGAACAGTTTAAAAAATGGTGCTATGGATCAAATGCAGGGCCCTGTGACACTGAGCTACACCTGCAGCTCTATTCTTTAGAACTTTGAGCTTAGAGTTTACATTAGTCTAATCCTTTTCATTTTCAAAAAAGACTCCTGGGACCCGGAGATGAGCAGCTCCTTGCCCAAAGTCACACATTGAGGATGAATTAGAACTCAAGGTTTTGATTTGCAACCCATACACCAACCCTTTTTTCCAAGCAGTTGGCCTTTTGGGACTTCCAGGTGGGGGGAGGCCTTGGCTCTGCCCACATCGCTTTTGGCTGAGTCTTCAGCTCATCCTCAAATGAGTTCATTATCCAAGACTTCCCAATCTAGCCTTGGACCTTGGGATGAGCAAAATGCATCGATGGGAGGTCAGGACCACATTTCAGTCTCATCAGGACTTCTCGCAGCTCTCAGAAGGCATCAGTGTCCCTTTAATTCCCAGGCAGAGAATGCAGTCAACTACCAAATCTGGAGGTTAGGTAAGCAGAATCCTTTTTGTCTCCCAGGATTCTCCTTTTGATAGTATTCTGTTCTGCATTTCAGATTTTTCTACACCAGTGCCACACTCATCATAGCCTTCACCTCTGTGGGTGAGTGTTGTCAGGGTGGGAGGACCCAAGTTCAGGGTATGGATAGATGGGGCAGGTGCTGGGGCAGGTGCAGAAGGTGACAGGCAGAGCACAAGTGCTCTATGGCTATTCAGAGATCCACAGCTTGAAAGAATCCTTAAGAGACGCTGAGTTATTGCTGGACTGTGAAAATAGTTTAGTTCACTGAGAACATGAAAAGGAAGGACAATGGAGGGAAATGGCTCCCAAGAATTTATTCAAGAAATTACTTCGTTCTTAGATGTGTTAAAATGTGGTCTCTTTTTTTTTCCGGAATGAAATTATAATGAGAGTGATAGTTTTGAAAATATCCTCACTTAGCAGGGTAAAAATTGGCAACTATATTGTACAAAAAGCTTTGTTTTCAAATATTACCTGTCTATAGAGGTTTGGGGTTCCAATCTGGTTTACTCTCCACTTCTTTCTTTATGTAAAGGAGAAAACTGAGGCTGTAAAGGCACCTCTAGTAAAGACTTGCCCAATGTCACAGAGAAAGCTAGTGGGAAGAGGGCCTGGGAGGTGGGACTCCTGTCTGCTTGCTGGTGCTTTGGCCAAGAGGTGCCTCCCAACACTCCTCTCCAGGGTCAGATTATGTGGCTTAATTTTTGGGCTAGGAAGGAAAGTAAAGTACTTAACTCTGGTGTGTGGAGTAGTTTCGTTGAAGAGGACATGTCATGTGGTCATCTCCACTTACGTTTAGCAATCCCAGAGGCTGAAGGTTTGGTCCAAACAGCTCATAAGGTCACATTTGTGAATTTTGAGCAATAATCCCCCTCTTCCTCCATAAAATAGGACTTTGTTTTGAAAAAGCTGTCAAGGCAACAATGACTCTATTATAAAAGCAGTCTCCACCAACTTTTAGCTCACTGGAGGAATATACATTTTATAAATACAGAAAGTGGATGGTAAATAGTAGGAATCCTCTAAAATTAGCTCTTTCCAGGGTGTCTGTAGAACAATAGTTACTTAAGAGGATGTTAGGATCACAGGCATGTTATACTAACAAGCATTGAATCACCTGGTGGAAAAATTATTCCTTTGTTATTGCTCTTTCAGTCTTTCTGGTTGAAGTCAGTCTTGGTGTGGAGCTAGTTTGACTTTCACATTGATGAGCAGATCTCATCCAGCCTCAATTTCATAACATTGTTACACAGTGTTAGTATACAATGAAAATAATTTCATTGTATTTATTTTTACATTTATTTCTATTCATGACAGGTAGTGCAAGGATTTCTGTTTACAGTAGTGATAAAAATGTCCTTTAAAAATAGGTTTCTTTTGGATAAAAGTGAGTTAAGTTTAAGAAAACTTTTTTATTGGGGGAATAGAGCTGGAGCTCAAACCCAGGGCATGGCATGTTCTAAGCATGCACTCTACCCCTAAGCTATACGCTTATTCCCTAAAGAAAACATTTTAATAAAGAATAGGACAGACATGGGTTATGCCCAAAATCTTGAAGTTAGGCAGAAGTCTGTGGTTTGGGAAAGACTAATTTATTTATTTTTGAATTGAATGGCTTTATTTATTTGTCCTTTTAAATTTTATTTATTTAGAGTGGTTCAAGCCTAGCAAGTGTAAGGACTTGAGTTCAAATCCCAGAACCACAAAAAAAGAGATTTCATCATTCTATATCATCAGATATAGAATGGGAAAGACTGATTTATCAAGGGCTTCCCTACCCATGACCTTTGAGCTGTTCTGTGGTCGTCCAGCACTTATGGGGCCTGTTGTAACAATTTGCTTACATGTCATTCTTCTCAAGAGCAAGGAGTATATTTACTCATTCTGTATTTCCAATGCCAAGTACAAAGCCTGGCATAAAGGAAGCAAAGGGAAATGGCCATTTTTTTTGACTCAGATCTCACAGTGCCCATGTGAGGCAGGAAGGGAGTAGTGTTCCCATTTAACAGGTGAGGTAACTAAGGAACAGATTCAGAAACCAGCTTAAGATTGTCGTGCAGTGAGTTAGGGACTAGACTGTCCCTTGGCATTGAGCCAAGAGTCCTCTTCTCCCATAGTGTCAAGGATGAAGTAGGAGGAGGTGCTTGTACTATCTCTGTTGGACATGAGGTGTGCTCAGGAGATCTCTGCAGGCACATTTGGAAGAGCTTAGATCAGATCCTAATACCCTGGAAGATGTTAGAAGTGGTTGGAATTAGGGCTCACACCCAGGTATTGTTGGGGGTTTGGAGCAGGTGAGAGCTAGGTTCCTGGAGAAGGGGGGGGGTCACTGTTTGGGTTGCGATGACCCCACCTCACCTCAGGTTTTGATGGTTCCAGACTCTGCCCTGCTGCTTTTCCTGGCCATGCCAACACTCACTGTTGGTGGAATCCTGTTTCTTATCACCAACCTGCAGGTGTGAACCTGTCCCAATCCCAGGCATTTGGGGGAGGTTGGGACGATGGAGGGAAGGAGAGGTAGTTTTCAATTGCTGCCTCTGATGGGATTGTCCAAAGGCAGGGTGGGACCCTCTTGTTGGAGGTGGGTTTGGGTATTTAAGAGTATCTGGCACATGTTGGATGCTCAGGAAATATTTGTTTCATGAATAAATAAATGATTTAGACTGGATATGTCTTCTTCAGATTGGGAACCTATTTGGCAAACACCGTTCAACCATCATCACCCTCTACAATGGAGCATTTGACTCTTCCTCAGCAGTCTTCCTTATCATCAAGGTAAAAATAACAATAGCCAGCATTTAGGGAACACTTGAGCACTTCTCTGTGCCAGACCCATGACCCTTGCATGATATCTATCAGCCCTCTGAATTAGGTGGTATTTCACTGCCATTTTAGTCTCAGATGGGCTAAGTGCTTACTGAAGGTTTTTTTTTTGTCTTTTTTTAGTGGTACTGGGATTTGAACTCAGGGCTTCACCTTGCTAGGCAGGTGCTCTACCACTGAAGCCAGTCCTATTTTGTGTTTTGTGTTTTTTTGAGATACGGTCTTGAGAACTATTTGCCATTGGCTGAGTTCAAACAGTGAACCTCTTGATCTCTGCTTCCTGAGTAGCTAGGATTTCAGGTGTGAGCCACCGGCTCCCAGCTTGCTGAAGGTTCTGAAGCTTGTAACCATAACACCTGAACCTGAACCTAAGTCTGTCTTGTTCTACAGCCTAAACTTGTGAAACTAGGCCCCTTCTTCACTCTTACCCCAGAGTTTGTATCCAGAAGCTAAGGAAGATGTCATGATATGCTTGGGCCAGGGCTGGGCAGAGGGTGGGAGTCCTTTGGAATGAGGTATTTGCTGATGTGAAGTTCTGCTTTGGATGAGGAGAGGGGAAGGGGCTAGTAGGGAAAGTATGGGTAGACACATTGGCCTATCAGCTCTCCAAGGGCTGATGTTGGGGGATGAATTATTTTTTTAAAAAAATAACTAATTAATTAGTTCTTTTTTTATTGTTGTGCTGGGTGGGAGTACATGGTAGCATTTACAGAGGTTCCTACAATGTATCAAATATGTCATAGTTGAATTCACCCCCTCCACTGCTGGGGGATGAATTCTTGCCGGACCTGTTGTTAGTGGTTCATCAACAGCCACTCTGCTAACAATTTTATTTTTATTTAAGTAAATTAAATTAAAATCTTTTTCTTTTTTTTGGTGGTACTGGGGTTTGAACTCAGGGCTTCATACTTGACAGGCTTGAGAGCCTAATTAATTGACTTTTTTGAGATGGGGTATCATTATGTAGTGTAGGCTGGCCTCAAATTCACTAGGTAGCCTAGGGTGGCCTCGAACTCTTGACTGTTCTGCCTCAGCCTCTTGAATGCTGGAATTACAGGTGTGAATCATGAGGCCTGGCTCTGTTAACAATTGTTTAATTCATTGCTAACAATTTTACGTGGGCAGTGATCTGCCCAGCCAGGTAATGAATGCTGATTGACCTACACCAATCATGGCAATCCTTCCCCTGTCAGTGATAAGCAGAGGTGGGCATATGACCCAGCCCTTGTTAATGAGATAAAGGAGGCGTATAATGGAGCAATCTAGAGGGGATTTCCTCCCTAAAGGAAGGTTACAGCAAAGTAAAAAGAAAGTCTTCTTCCTTGTCTTCCTTCTTACCCTTCTTCTTTGAATGTTGCAGTGGGAGGGTGTGATAGCTGGAGTTGTGGCGACCATACTTTGATTATGAGGCAACAGACTGGTGAACAAAAGCCAGCACACTAAAGATGGTCGAGTGAAAACAGTAAAAGACTGGGTCCCAAGCTGCCCAATCTGGAACTTCCTTCTGGGCTTTGCGTTAGGGCCTTGAGGGAAGAGAATGGATCTCTGGTGCTCACTATCCAGACATAAACCCCACTTAGACCTTGAGCACTTTCGCTTGGAGGGTCAGCTTGTCTTAGTTCCATGAACACCTTGGCTTGGATCTGAGCCTCTGGCCACTGCAGGTTTTCTTCCTCTAGTACAATCCTATGGATGTGCCTCCCTGTTCTTTCCTTTGTCTCAGGAGATTGAAGGGAAGAGCTGAAGCAGGACCTGGAGTCCTTGATTTAATCTGACTCAGCTGCTTCCTCTGACCTTGGGCAAGTCCTTGTGTTCCTCCAACCTCAGTACCACTCTCTGTAAGGGCTGGAGGTGGGGCTAGATAAGTGCTTTCTATACTGGGAGTTGAGGAACTTACTGGTTCCCTTTGATGTTGTGTCAGTCACCTAGGGAGTCACGGGGAGGATGACTTGGCATCTCCCCACGCATGTGTTTTGCAAGTTGAATTTTTGTGTACACATTTGTTTGAAGTGACATGGTGGTGCACAGTTGTAATCCCATCTCTTAGGAGGCTGAGGCAGGAAGATTTTGAGTTCGAAGTCAGCCTGGACTACATAGCAAGACCCTGTCTCAAAAAAAAAAAAAAAAAAGTTGACTTTCCTGCTATTTGGACAAATCAGCACTAGGCTACCAGATCTCCAAGAGCCACACGAGGAGGCTCCACAAGGGTGTGGTAAGGTGACAGGATGACTCCCCAGAGCTGGTGGGCTCCGGAGTAAAGGTCTGTGGGGACCAGGTATCCTTAATCAGCTTCCAGGAAGGTAGGCAAAAGGTTGTGCTGAGATTCCTTTTTGGAAATGTGGCTTCCAGCTCCTGCTCTTACATTGTTTATGTCTGATGAAATACATGCAGCTCAAAAGTTGCCATCTTAACCACTTTTAGGGGTACAGCCCAGTGGTATTAAATACATTCACACTGTTGTGCAGTGGTCCTCTGTCTCCACAGCTCTTTTCACCTTATAAAGTTGGAACTCTGTGCCAATTAAATACAAATTCCTCATTTGTCCTCCACATCCAGCCCCTGCAACCCCCCTTCTACCTTCTATGAATTGACTATTCTAGGAGCCCCATGTAAGTAGAATCATATGGATTTGTCCTTTTGTGACTGGCTGATTTCACTTAACATAAAGTATTCAAGGCTCATCCATATTGTAGCATGTGTCAGGATTTTATTCCTCTTTAATGCTGAGTAATACTGTGTTGAACAGATATACCACATTTTGTTTATCCCTCCATCCACTGATGCACACTTAGGTTGTTTCTGTCTTTTGGCCTTGTTGATAATGCTGCTATAACCTGACTTTTCTCTTTTTTCTTCTGCAGCTTCTTTATGAACAGGGCATCAGCATTAGGGCCTCCTTCCTCTTCCTCTCTGCCTGCAGTGTCTGGCATGTTGGACGTACTTTCCTCCTGATGCCTCGGGGACACATTCCTTACCCACTGCCCCCCACCTACAGTTATGGGTAAGGACTCTTGGCCAAAGCTTTACCTCATATGGGACAGGAAACAGGGAAGAGCAAACCTGTCACAGGAGAGGAACCTAGGAAGAGAAGAGTTATCAGTTAGCTATTGCTGCATAACAAGTCTTCCCCCAAACTCAATGGCCTAAAGCACTAAGCAGTTATTATTATTATTATTATTATTTTAAATCTGTGAGTAGCTGGCAAATCCTAATGCCAGAGCTAGATTTGGATGATCTTAAGATATTTATGCCTCATTATCTGGTGAGTTAGCTGGGGCTTGGCTGCTGTGGAATGGCCTCACCTACATGGGTTTCGAGTGACAGGGGTGTCAGTGTGACATGTTCATTCTTCAGCAGGCTACCTTGGGCTTGCTCACATGTGCATTCAGGGTTCAGAGACAGTGCAGCAATGTACATGATTTCTTGAGGTTTAGACTTGGAATTTGGTATGCCGGTTTTGCCATATTTTCTTGGCAGAGGAGGTTCACAAGTTCAGCCCAGATTCGTGGGATGAGAGATAAAGCTGCCAAGTTGCATTGCACAGGATGGAGAATCAGTGAGATCATTTTTTGCAGCCAGTTATAAGAAGTAGAGGACATTCATTTGCTGTTTGCTTACTATTTGTCAGGCCCTATTGCTTTTTGATTTCATTCTCACAATAATCCTCTCAATCGATATTCTTGCCTTTATTTTCCACCTGAGAAAAATGAGGCTCAGAAGGGATGTGAGCCATGTTTCTGCAGCTGGCAGAAGCCTGGCTCTCATTACAGACACTCTGATTTAACCTGTCTGGGTTGTGACCTGGTCATTGGAGTTGTTAAAATGTAGTTTCATGTGCATTGAAATGGGGCTGCACTGCACTGTTCCCTGTTGTCTGAATCTTGGGGTCAGTTCACAGTCCTTGGCCTGGCTGCTGGGGCTTCTGTTTCCACAGCCTGTGCTCTGAGTTTGGCACCAGAAAGGAAGAGAAGAAAACAGCTGAGTGTGAAAACGTGGAACTGCAGTCAAAGGAGGTCTTTTCCCCAAAGGAAGGTGAGCCCTGTGGTTTAACTCGTCTCCCCTTCAGATCCCAGTCTGTTTTCTCCATGGCTCTTCCTCTGATGAAGTCCCTGAGGGACTCAGAATCAGGCCAGGCAGAGAAAGTTCCTAAAGGATCTTTATAGCCCCCTCACTTTGTAGAGTCTAGAGAGGGCAGGACTTTTGTCTCTTCTCTGTTCTTCTTTTCTCTCATCTTCTTCTCACCCCATGAAGCCTGCCTTTCTTTCTTGCCCTCCTTTTCCCCATTTCTTGGTCCTGCTGTCTCCTGTGATGCCAGTGCACCAAGGCTAGATGGTTTGTTCTGCCACCTCTACTGCTGCCTCCTTTCCCTTCTCTATCTGTTTTGGGTCTTTGTTTACAAATATCACAAACCATTGCTGGCTGTAGGAGAAATAAAAATAGAAGGTGGAGGGAGGAAATGGGAAGGTTTAGGCCAAAGGATACAAAGTTGCAGATTGGTAGGATGAACAAATCTAGAGATTTTATATACAATGAGAGGACTGTCATTAGTAAAATTGTATTATTGTTGAAAGTTTTGCTAGATGAGCAGATTTTAGCTGTTCTTGGCACAAAAAAATGGGTAGCCATGTGACATGATGGATATGATAATTTGCTTCACTATAGTAACCATTTTACTGTCTATATGTATCTCATGACATCATGCTGTATACTTTAAATACACACAATAAATTTTTTTTTTTAAAAAGAATAATAGGATGTTGAGAAGCTTGCAATGTCAAGGGGAAAACTGAACTTGACAGGTTCCAGGAGGTTTAGAACCTGAGTAGTTCTGGGTATTACAGTCTAAAATCATGGCTACCTGCCTGTTTTAGGGAGAATGAGGCCAATTGGGTAAGGAACAGGACATTTAATTCATAGTCCCATCTGGACCATGGAGAATAGGGCAGGAGAAGATTTCTCAAGGAAACGTAGGTTACTGGGACCAAAAGAAAGGGAGGGGAGGAGCAGCCCAGGACAACAGCTGTTCACCACTATCTCTCATTTCCTCTCTTCTCTCCTTCTTTCTTTTCATCATTGTGGCTTAGAAAGATCAGGAAAGTATTATTGCAAGAAGTGTCATTGAGCAGTCTATGAGAGACGGATCAGATTTCAATAGTCAGAAGAACATGAGGAGGGTCATTCAAGGTGGAAGGGCCAGGATGACAAAGCATGAGATGTGGAGGGGTGTGAGTTGTGGGCAGCTGGCAGAGCACTCCGGATGAGTTCTGGGGACAAGGATAGAAGGTGAGCTTGGAGTGAGACTGTCCTGTCATGGGCCACTCTGGTCCATCCTGCCCCTCTACTTTCCTTGTAATTCATGGCCAGTTCCTCCTTTTCCCCATCAGAGAGCCAAGACCCAGGGCAGCAGCATGAACTCCGCTCTTTCCAGAGCTGCGTTCTTTCTCGGCGCTTTATCTGGCACTTCATATGGCTGTCTGTGATACAGTTGTGGCACTACCTCTTCATTGGCACTCTCAACTCTCTGTTGACCAACTTGGCTGGTGGGGACAGGGTACAAGGTAAGTGATGGGGCTGGGAGGTGGTCCACCTGCAGGCCCCACCTGGGGCCTAGTTTGGATACACGGGGGGGAAAGTGACAGGCAGGACAAAGACAGAGTAGGAGAATCCTGTCCTGGAAGTCAGGTCTGCAAATTTCTTACCATCCAACCTGTCTCTGCTCTCTGCAGTCAGCGCCTACATAAATGCCTTCGCCATCACTCAGTTCTTTGGAGTGCTGTGTGCCCCCTGGAATGGGCTTCTCATGGACTACCTTAAACAGAAGTACCAGAAGAAAACAGGAAAGACAGGTGAGACAGAGTCAGGGAACCAGGAGGAGAGAGATGGATCTTTATTTACCTCCATGCACATCCTCGCTTTTGTTTTTAATCCTTTCTACCTGTCCTCATTCATCCATTCAGTCAACCACTAGTCTCCAAGTGACAGTTATTTGCCAGCCATTGTGTCATTCATTGTAATTCAACAACCGACAAGACAGATACGTCTTTTTCTCTAGCTGTCCCTCATCTAGAGGGTAGATGAAGACATGTAATTAGGCAGTTTTGATTCATGAAGTACAGACAGTGCCCACCTTATGATTTTCAACTTTACGATGGTGTAAAAGCAACCCAACGTAACCATTCTGTTTTTCCACTTTTAGGAATTCCATAAATTACATGCGTTATTCAACGCTAACAAATAATAGATTTGCCCACCTGTAGGCTAGTGTAAGCTCTTGGCACATTGAAGCTTTGCTGGGCTAAGCTACAATGGTCAGGAAGGTAGGTGTATTTTTTTTTTTTTCCAGTGATGTGGACTGAACTCCGGGCCTTGCACTTGCCAGACAAGTGCTCTTCCACTGAGCTAAATCCCCAACCCTGATGTTAAGTGTATTAAGTGCATTTTCAACTTTTTTTTTTTTTAACGGTACTGGGATTTGAACTCATGGTCAACACCTTGAGCCACTCTGCAGTCCTTTTTGTGTTGGGTTTTTTCCAGATAGGGTCTCGAGAACTGTGAGCCCAGGCTGGCTTTGAACCGAGATCCTCCTGATCTCTGCCTCCTGAGTAGTTAGGATTACAGGTACTGGGCAGCTGCTCCTCTTCCTTTTTGAACCAGGTACTTCAGCCTCTGCTGCAGCCCTCTGCTCTGCGGTGCCTTCACTGGCTCTGACGTCTCTGCTGTGCCTGGGCTTTGCCCTCTGTGCCTCAGTCCCAGTCCTCTCACTCCAGTATGCCACCTTCATCCTGCAAGTGGTCAGCCGCTCCTTCCTCTATGGGGGCAATGCTGCCTTCCTCACTCTTGCGTAAGTGAGCGTGGGGTATGTTCCATGATGGAGGAACATGCTGGGGCAAAGGGAAGCGGGCTGAAAGTAAAGAAATTGGGAGGTAAGAGTGAAGGCAACTGGATTTGGGAGCAGGTGTAGAGGGGGTGATGTCCCGAGGTGGAGGCTGGACCTTGTGTGGACTGTGCCCTCTGCCTTTATCAACCTGGTGAGCTCCTATTCACCCTCCAATGCCCACTTCTGTTCTAGCCCTCCCAGGAAAGAGTTGGAAAAAAGTGTCTTCCCTTCTTCCATTCTTGCTTCCTTTGAGAGTACATGCATCTGTTTTTTCCTTAAGACTTCCTTCTGTTTTCTCAGGGCCTTCTCTCTGTCCTGTGGTTAGAGTGTTCTTTGAAGAGGGTGAAATGCAAGCTGAGGACAGGGAGTTGAGAGCAAGTGGCTGGCAGAGATCCAGCCCTTGCTTGGAGGGAGGGTCCGCAAATCCTGTGTGTTTCTCTCCCTAGATTTCCTTCTGAGCACTTTGGAAAGCTCTTCGGGCTGGTGATGGCCTTGTCGGCCATTGTGTCTCTGCTCCAGTTCCCCATCTTCACTCTAATCAAAGGTCCCCTCCAGAATGACCCCTTCTATGTGAGTACTGTGGGAAGGGGTGGTTCCTTGGCCAGGTGCTGTCCAGAGTCAGGGCCTAGACCATGAGCAAGACATCTAGGCCAGGGAGACTCTGTGTGGCCCCAGCAGGGGGCACACTAAGCCGACTCAGGTGGTCTGGGTACATCGCCACCAGCATTTCTGCACATGGATGCCTCCTTGGTCTTGCTTCTCAGACTAGGGTCAGTGGGAGTACCCGGCTTGTGCTGGGGGTACCCAAGGCCAAAGGATTAACACAGCGCAGCTTCTCAAAGAGTTTGTTCTGTTCAGAGATTTGGGGAAGAATTTTTTTGTGGGTGGGGAAGCAAAATATACATTCTGGAGTAGGATGCAAAATTCTTACAGAATCTCAAGTAAAACTTAAGATTTTAGATATTTCTTGCTTTGGGCGACTGCAGGCCAACTGTGGCCTGTCCCTTAGGGCTACACCATTTACTACAGTTGGCCCAAGGGCAGGAGTTCTGTACTTTCATCCCTGTGTCCCCACACTTGGAGAAGTTTGTAGATCCTGCCCTAGGAAAGGGGCCAGACTCTCCAGCTTTTTTGCAGAAACTGAAGCTCAAAAAGATTATGTGACTTATGTATCCAGGGGCATACTGCTAAGGAGTCCTTCCATTTGGAATTCAGTGTTCTGACAACTGTACGCTTTTGTTTGCCCCCTTTAAAGAAAATCAACAAGGTGTAAAACAGGAGTTTAAATCTGTCACTAGAAGAAAAAAGACTAAGCTTGAAAACGGAGGAAAATGCCTCACTGTAAAATCAGGTGACTTAACGTCACATTCAGTGTGTAGTCTGATAGGTGCCTCCCCAGCTTCCTATGTGCTCTCTCTGGCCCTATTTCTTCACCTGTGTAATGAGCATACTATTCCTTCCTCACCCAAGAAGGCAGAATGAAAGCTACCAGAAGTCACCGAGTGTCTGGGTGGGAAGCAAAGTGAACTATATAGGACTTTGGCCCTTGGTGGTGGTGGATATGGTTTGGAGTTGCTGGACTGGTTTATTCCTTCCTCTCCCCCCAGGTGAATGTGACGCTTGTGCTTGCCACTCTTCTGACCTTTGTCCACCCCATCCTGGTGTACCTCGAATGCCGCGCTCAGAAAGAAAGCCCTTCTTCAAACCTGTAGTTCAGAAGCCATCTCTTTTCAGATGCTTTTCCTAATCTTTTCTCACCTTTGATGACCCAGTGTCCACAAAGACTTTGCCTGCTTAGGCAACTTTTATTAAGTAGCCGTTATTGAGAGAGAGAAAGAGAGGGAGATAGACCTAACTGTCTGCCAGGACTTCTGATCAGCAAGGAAAGAATCTGAGCTGCCACACCCAAAGCAAAAGCACCTGGAAATTCTCCCTGGTTTTGAAGCAGGCAGTGGCTTCCTGCACGTGGCCTCACAGATCCTTACTGAAAGGGAAGTCATATAGAATATGAGGTGTGTCATTGGCTCATGTATGCTGGAATCTCTGCTGCCAGGTAAATTTGCAGGTGCAATATGAGGTTGTTAATGGCCTCAGCTGTTTCTGGCATTCAAAGGTGATACCAGCAGAAGCCCCAGTTCTGCCTCAGAAAAAACATACTGTTTGGAGAGCTCACCATCAGCTTTGGGGGAAAGAGTTGGAGATGGAGTCCCCTGGGCCTAAGTCATAGCTCTCCCCTAATCCTGGATGACCTTGGGCTGACCCTTCTCAGATCTGAGCACCACTTTTCCCATGTGTAAAATGAGAGAATTTGGAGTTGAAAGTTCTTTCTGGAGCTAATATCCTGGATGGTTTTAAGAACTGTGACAGAGAGTCAGGTTAGGCCAAGGGCCTTGGGAACCAGCTAGTCTACTGGGCAGAAAGATTTCTGATGAGCCTTCCTGGGGATGTTTCCTCTTCAGGAACTGGTATTAACTTTGGTCATTTTATAAAACATTTCCCTAGAGAATAATTTTATAGAATAATAAAGGCTCTGTGTTTAAGGCAACTACTGTTCCACATTTCTGATTTGGGGCTGGCATGTGTGAGTGTACATGTGTGCACCTGTGCCTCGTGGAGTGAGTACAAGAGTGGAGGTGGAAGAATAGAGGCAGCTCGACACAGAGCAGGGGCACGGAAGCCAGCCACCTTCCTGGTCTGGGTCTTGGGACATGAGCGCTGAGATCCTTCTTCTTCCTCCTCACATTCTTTAGCCTCAAAAGAATCGCCTACTCTCACTCAGCTAGAAGCACTAGTTAGAACTGGAAGCTCCCGGTTTGAGTCTCAGTTCTGCTCCCAGCAGCAATTTCCTTTCCTGCAAAGTGCAGTTAATAATTTCTATCCCTGAGGGCAATTGTGAGAATGTAAAGTAACTCCTCCTGTCTAGTATGAGGTGGGAGCCCATGAGTGTTTGTAACTTTATTTACTCATGACCACAGGGAAAAGGGTCACAAGGAGAAAGAAGGTGAAGGGCTGGAAGAGAGATGAGACATGGACAAGATGGGAGACTTTAGAATATACCAGCTGTTTATTTCCACATGGCCAGGAGGGGTGCTGGGAAAGGACAACTGAAGGGGGAAGGAGTGGAGGGATTCATTCATTCATTCATTCAACAAGCATTCATTGAGCACTTACAGTACATCAGGCTCTATCCTGGGTGTTGGGGATATGGGGGTGCATAGGGGGCTGAAGCAGAGCTCTTTCTTCTCTCTGTGGGTTACTGAAGGGTAATTTCCTGGGGCCTAGGAACCTGGGTCTGAAGACAGACACCAGAGTTCTAAAGATGCCTTCGAACTTGTTATCCTGTTCAGAGACTTTCAGTCCACATTCCAACCTGGCATTCAACGCTCTCAGCATTATGATCCCAACCTCACTCCTCCTCTTCACCACCTATTCCCAAGGGAACAAACCCATCCCCATGGACCAAGGTTCTTGGTCTCTGTGACTGTGTACAACTGGTTCCTCTGTGTGGGTGACTTGGTCCATCTCTGCTTAGAAATCCACTTGATCTGCCCGCGTTCTGCTTGAAATGCCATCTCCTCTACAAAGCCTTTCTCAGATTCTCCAGTAACTCTGTCCTCAGCATTTGGTCACATCTTTCCTGGTGCCGGACATCTGCCTGCTTACCTGGACAGCAAACTGCAGGAAGCAGGGACTGGGTCTTACTTGGCTCAGTCCCCCATGTGTGCTTGGCATCCGCACGATGCCAGGTAAGCCTCAGGAGTGAATATTCATTGAATGAATGGATTCTTCCTTGTTTTGGCCTCAGAGCCAATTGGAAGGAGATGACAACACCAAGGGACAAGATGAAATGTGTTGAGGTGGGAAAGACCCATAATTTAATCCCTGCTCTGTCACTTACTAGTCTGACCTTGGAAGGGCCACTTCACCTGTATATCTCATTCCTTTATCATTGTGATGGGAGTAATAGACTTGCCTCCCTAGGCCACTGCAAGGATTACAAATGAGGTCAAGTGCCTGGAACTGAGTAGATCACAGCTAGCATTAGAGATAACATATTAAAGCCAAATGATGCGTCTAAGGCCTATTAATGGGTAAAGGGATAAATAAAATACACCCATACAATGACATATTATTTGGTAATAAAGGGCAATGAAGTACTGACACATGTTACAGCATGGATGAAACTTGAGAACATTATGCTGTTTAAATATGAAATGTCCAGAATAGGCAAATCCATGGGGGCAGGAAGTAGACTAGTGATTGGCTAGGCCTGGTGAGGAGGAAGTGGGTAATGACTGCTAATGGGTAATGGATTTGGGGGCAGTGATAATTTTGTAAAATTAATAATGGTAGTAGATGGAATGTACTATAAAGACCACTGAATTTTACTGTTTTGTTTGTTTTTGAGATAGTCTTGCTATCTAGTCCAGGCTGGTCTTGAAATTGTTATCCTCCTGCCTCAGCATCCTGAGTGCAAGGATTATAGATAGGTAGCATCATGCCCAGTGAATTTTATATTTTAAATGGATGAATTGTGGTAGAGTGCCTGCCTAGCAAGCTGGAGGCCTTGAGTTCAAACCCCAGTACTGCCCTCCTCCCCCAAATGACTAACACTATTTAAAAAGATGCCTTGCTTTCCTAAGAAATGCAGAGACAGCACTTGCATCCTGAGTTAGAGATGATTTCTGGGAAGGTGGACAAGAAGGGAGGCAGTGAGAGAAGCAGCCGAGAAGCTCTGCCTCCTGTTTCTGTCCTGATAGTTCTCCTTCTGCAGCTTCTTCCCCAAAGGGACCAACTGTTCTTTCATATGAGGAAGCAGGCAACCCAGGGGTTTCACAAGTTTTGGGTTGACTCAGCAACAGGCTTCCAGTGTAACCCTTGTCTCCAGCTGCAGTCTCAGCAGAGAGGGACCAGAGGCTACTCTGCCCCACCGTGCCATGCTGGGCCTCTGCTGGGGGACAGCACCTGCCATGTAAAGGGCAGATAGCAACCTGTGTGACATTCTCCCTTCAGCCTGTTTAGCCCAGGGAAGCGTGTCTGACCAGCCTCATTTTATAAATAAGGAGACTTAGGCTTATCAAAGACTACACTGTAAAGCTGACATTTAAGCCAGGTCAGTTTGACTACCAAGGTCACGTTCATCTTAGGCATCACCTTTCCCTTACACTTATTCTTATGTAAGAATCATGGTTGTTGTAAAACAGATGAGGAAATAAAGAACTGCTTGAAAGAAACATTACTGTTAACAGCACATCTTTAAGATAATCATGGGGGTTTTTTTCCAGACCTTCTAGTGGACATATATGATAATTAAAACGATCTCAGAAGACTTTCTTTTTATTATCAAATACTCACTGAAACAGCTGCTTAAAACCCCATCTGAAAGCTATGTCCCACCTCCTTTTTTTTAAATCTCTATCCACTGCTTTGTGGAGTCTCCCATTCACACACTTTAGAGATGCCATGCCCACTACTTTCTGTCCCCTCTGCTGCCAGTGCAAGGGTCCCAGAAGACAGTGACCCGCAGAGCAGTCCAGATCAACAGACTGGAGAGTAGAAGTAATACTAGAACTCAGGAGGGTGAGATATCATCACAGGTCATCACAAAAGAGTTTCCAAAATATGATGAACACCTGCTAATGACGGCCCATCGCCTGATGCCAACTGTGGCTCAGGTGAAGGTGCTGGGTGCCACTGCCTGTGCTCTCAATGCTTTTCCCCAAATTCAAAGCTTGGGGCATGGACCCCAGTCCTGGAGCCCCCCTCCCTGCCAGTCCCTCAGGACATAGAGGAGTCCCAAATGGGTCTGTGTGTGGCCTTGGGGAAGGACATTTCTGATCCAGGCTTTAAAGCACAGGTCTGGTCCTGTGACCATGGATGGGACACAGCTGACCATGTCTAAGCCCTGGATCATGGTTTATGTCATACCATGGTCCCTATAGGCGCTTTGGTTTTCCTTCCTTCCTTCCTTCCTTCCTTCCTTCCTATCTTCCTTCTTTCTTCTCTTCTCTTTCTTTCTCTCTCTTCCCCCACCTCCCCTAATTTTCTTTTTGAGACAGCATCTCACTGGCTGCTTTGGAACTCATAATCTCCTTGCTTTAGTCGTCTGAGTGCTGGGATTACAGGCATGTCACTGTCATGCCTGGCTCTGATATTATTTATTTGCTTGTGGTACTGGAGTTTGAACTCAGGGCTTATGCCTTGAGCCACTCCACCATTCCTTTTTTGTGGTGGGCTTTTTCGAGATAGGGTCTCACGGAACTATTTGCCAGGGTTGGCTTCAAACTGTGATCTTTTTTATCTCTGCCTCCTGAGTGGCTAGATTACAGGCATGAGCCACCAGTCCCCAGCTGATATTTTTATTTTTTTAACTCCAAACATCGCTCATGGGTTCCTCAGTATTTTGTCCAGTGTTGGGCTGGGGCAGTAGCGTGCATGGTTTGAAAGGCTCTGGACTTTGCAAGTGTTGACCAGCTGAGTGACCTTAAAGAAAGCCTTAACCACACTGAGTCTCTGTTTCTTCAGCTGAGATAAGTACCACTGAGATATGTACCACTAAGTACCACTAGAGAGAAGCTTTTGGAATAAAAGACAGAAGCAGCATGGGCTCTGGAATTGGACTAAGACCATCTTCCAGTTCTTCCACAAACTCTGGGACTTAAATTTGCTCTGCCTCCATTTCTTCATCTGTAAAATGGGGGTAATGAAAGAAATATGTTATGGAGCTTTAAGCATTAAATGACTTGATGAAAGCCAAACACTTCAAACAGGACTTGGCACAGTGTGTGCTCAGTATAAACCACCTGGCTGGCAGCAGGTGTGCCATACGTGGCTACGGGTGTTACTGTAGAATCTGTGCTGCCCTGAGGGAAATGCAGAGTGAGGCGTGTCTGTATTTCATTCCTGGCAGAGTCTGGAATGCCACCACCTTGGTTCAGGATGAAAAAGCGCCTTTCAAACATTTACTCAGCTTTGTTTCTGCCCAATAATGCTGCCTACATTCCCCTTTATTGCTTGCAATGGGAAAACTTCAAAGGCAAAAGAAGACAAGAGGCTTCCTAATTATCCAAAATCTTAAGCCAAAGTCAATGAAAAATATCAACCTTCATATTCAATTTTTTGTGCTATGTTTGTTTCTCCAGCAGTCAATGCAGAAAACCAAGTGCACAGAAATGTCAATTACTGGGGTAGGGCTCACTATTCCTTCCAGAGCCCTAGGTGAGGAGAGCTGAGACTGCTCTGGCTCTTGTTCCCACGTCCTCAGGTCAGTATCCTTGAGCAGCCACAGAGCTGTCTGTGCCTCTATTTGTTGCTTAAAAATGGAGGTTGTAGGGTGAATATGGTCAACGTACTGTATCTACTTGTATAAATTTTCATACAATGAGCAATGAAACCTGTTGAAATCATTTTAAGTTTGGGGGGATGGGGGTGAATGATGGTGGGGATGAACCTAACCAAGGCACATTGTAAACACATATGGAAATGTCACAATGAAATCCCCTGCACAACTAATATATGCTAATAAATATGTCAAAAAAAAAAGAAAAGAAAAGAAAATGGAGGTTATAGTGCCTACCTCTGAGAGGTGCAAGGATCAATGAGACTTTCCATAAAAATGCTTGACCCTGGCATATAGTAGGTCCATAATTAACGGCACCTATCATTTTTTATTATAGGCAGGTGCTTTACCACTTGAGCCACTCCTCCTCTTTTCTGGAACTGGGATTTGAACTCAGAGCCTCACACTTGCTAGGCAAGCCTACACATTTAGAAATGGTTGTTTTCTTTTTCTTGCTTACTATGGGTCACGCCCAAACCAGAGTTAACTCCTGCAGTTCCTTCAGCTCTTCCTTTCCAGCCTGTTACCTTGTATAGGTTTTATAGCACTACGTACTTTTCCCCATTGAGCTTGTCACAACTGCAGGTTAATGTGTGACCATATGATAAAAACATACTAAAAAAATACTCATATGTGTCTTCCATTAAGTTGGAAATTCTATGTAGGCTGTAACTGTGTCTTATATTGCCTACTGTGTCCTTAGGGCTTTGCAGACACAGACAGACAGATGCACAGATGCACAAGGGTAAGTAGGAAGAGATTTAATCTCTAATCACATCTCTGAGCTCTGA